TCCATTTCACAAATAAAAGGCTGCGGTTTGGTACAAATGTCATCATTCCAGTGGCCATCTTTGAACTCCAAGCAATCTTCATGTCCACCGGTGTTACTAGGGTTCCCTGGACACCAGAAGTTACCTTCCATCGGGCTTGAGAATGTCGCCCAAATCCAATGTCCTTCTACAACTTGGTCGGTACCATCAATCCAATAATCAGCTGAGGAGAATTTGTAGAATCGTGTGAATTATTTTATATGGTATATCTTTTTACAAGCAACCATTATTAAGATAGTGACAGTATATTTATTGAAACGCTCTTACAAAAAAACATGTATGTATAAGAATTTTTTGGGTCTTTTAGAAAAGAATAGCTTCTTGTATATTTGTTGTTTTTTTTTTTAATTAAATGCTGATACTCAGTTATCAAATTTTGTTTTGATTTTTTTTTTTGTCGTTTGTTCCCATAAAATATTGTACACTCACTTATCTTTTATTTTGAAATCTATTTGTCATTATATAGGATAAAGTAAAATGGCATATAACAGTTACCGTTTGCTTGACAAACTCCATTCTGGGATTTTTGGTGTGTTGGATTAATTTTTGTAAACAGAAAGTTTAACGTGTCTCGATCGTCAACAACAGCAAGGTTCGCACTCAGTGCTTTACAGTCACTCTGTAAACAGATATTTTAACATGTCTTGATCGTCAACAACAGCAAGGTTCGCAGCTAGTGATTTATAGTCACTTTGTAAAAAAAAGTTTAACATGTCTTGATTGTCGACAACAGCAAGGTTCGCATTTAGTGCTTTACGGTCACTCTGTAAACAGAAAGCTTACCATGTCTTGATCGTCAGCAACAACAAGTTTCGCAGTTAGTGCTTTAATCACTATGTAAACAGAAAGTGTAACATGTATTGTGTCATAGGTCAAATTTATTTGTTCAGTGTATGTTCAATGGTGGTAATATGTCCTTTGATTGAGTTAAGCTATTTCAGTTGATATTTTATAGTGTGTCTTTCGATGTTGTGATGTTACACTATTGTTTCAGAAAAAGGGTGAAGGTTTGGTACCATTAAAACGTTTAAACCCGCTGCATTTGTTTGCACCTGTCCTAAGTCAGGAATCTGATGTTCAGTAGTTGTCGTTTGTTGATGTGGTTCATAAGTGTTTCTCGTTTCTCGTTTTTTATATAGATTAGACCGTTGGTTTTCCCGTTTGAATGGTTTTACACTAGTAATTTTTTGGGGCCCTTTTTAGCTTACTGTTCAGTGTGAGCCAAGGCTCCGTGTTGAAGACCGTACTGTGACCTATAATGGTTTACTTTTATAAATTTTGACTTGGATGGAGAGTTGTCTCATTGGCACTCATACCACATCTTCTTATATCTATTGATCGTCAACAACAGCAAGGTTCGCATTTAGTGCTTTACAGTCACTCTATAAACAGAAGTTTAACAAGTCTTGATTGTCAACAATAGCAAGGTTCGCAGTTAGTGCTTTACAGTCACTCTATAAACAGAAAGTTTAACATGTCTTGATCGTCAACAACAACAAGGTTTGCACTCATTGCTTTACAGTCACTGTAAATAGTATTTGAGAATAAAATGAAGAAATTTGGTTTTAGAATTTGTTTATTAGTTTGTATTCTCTGTCTTGTTTTTACTGAATTTGTCAAGTGACAAAAATAGACGGAAGGTCGAATTTTATAATTTTGAAGTTCTTCAATGTTTAAGTATTCGAATAAATTATTTAAAAAGTTATTTCAGTATCATGTGTCAAATGCAGATAAAATTTAGATTACAACCTATTCAACAGGTAGATGCTAGCGCGATTAGACTAGTCTCCGATGGTACCATACACCAACTAGTGAAGCATGATGGAGTCGGCACAAAAAATCTTTTTCTTAGGTAAGCAGTTCCTGCTTAACTACTGACCCCTAGCGAGGTTATTATGGCAAGTAAACATTCGTTGATAAGTCGAATTCGTTGATGTCGTAATTGAAGAAAAGAGGACGACTATTTATAAATTTTCTTATAATAAGAAGTTAACTGTATTTAAACTAAGATTGAAACTCCCTAGTTCAAAATAGCCTCAAGACGGTTCTAACTGATCTATTTAAGTCTAAGTCTATTCGCCTTGTTGGAGAAGGATTTGTTTTATTTTTAAAGCATATAAATAGATAGGTAAAAAGGGTCGAGAATCTGCCTTTCAAAAACTATTCAACTCCTATCATGTGTTGTGAATGTACTAAGTCAGAATAGCTAGTCCAGAAGTCTTTCTTTATTGCTAATATTGTATAAGCTTTATCTTACATGAATAAATCAGATGTTAGTATGTCTACAAGATTTTTTCAGTGATTTGACATGAAGTAAAAGGACATGTGGGTATGCATCAACACACTACAGTCCCACAATACACAAAGAAACAACAAAACAAAACAAACACAACCACATCTTTATGCATGTTATCTTATTGTTATTGTTCAGTTGGGTTTATTATTGTTCAAATAATGTTATTTTCATACAGAGGAATTATTATAACTTCATTCGCTGAGACATCTCGATGAGCATGATGTTAAAGCGAACACAGGCTTGTTTGTGTTTAGGTTGTGCAGTCCAGGGCCCAGTTTTTTGTGGGTTCTTATTGCTCAATCTTTACTTTTCTATGTTGTGTTTTGTATACAGTTGTTTGTCTTTTAGTCTTTTGGTCTTTTTATGTTTTCCATAGCGTTGTTCGTTTATTTTCAACTTATGAGTTTGAATGTCCCTTTGTCATCTTTCGCCTCTCTTTAACACCACTGTACAAGTTCATGGGATGGTTTGAGCGCTAACAAATATGTTTAACCCATGCAGCCACATTCTGTATGTGCATGTCCCTAGTCGGGAACCTGTAATTCAGTGGTTGTCGTGTCGTAGGTTCTTTTCTTCTACAGCAAAAACGAAAGGCGACAAAACGACAAACAAGTTTACATACCACTTCATAGAAAACTAAAGACTGAGCAACACGAACCCCACCAAAACTAGGGTGATATCAGATTCTCAGGAATGGTAAGAAAGTATCAACAAAAATACCAAACTCCAAGGTAAATTCTAAAAGGGAGAAGTCGAATAAGTCGTTAGACTATATCAATCAACGTAAGCAGATCCTGCCCCACTAGTGGCACCCGAAATGGTTCATTTAAGCAGCCAGAACTCCCACTGGTATGACAAAAGTCAAATCATTATGTACAGACATTTAATTGATAAAGAAGACTTCCATGCATTTATTAAGGGATATTTCGAGTGTTCCTCGATATTTATTGGTTCCATTATTTATATATTGGTCACTGCAAAAAAAAAAAAAAAAAAAAAAACTTGCGCATTTGTTAAATACATTAATATACATATTTGTTTAAACAAATCTTCACTGGACAATACAACAAATTGAAATACAAAAAACAAATACTTCATTAAAGAATTAAATGCTTCTTTCTTTTATTTTGGGTGTAAAAACGTTGACCGAAACACATTTTATGTAAAACCATACTAAAAATGTGCTTAGGATCAACGCTTTTACGACCCTATATAATTACAAAAAGAAGCAATCAATCTTTATAAATACATTGATGTGCTACGATTACGAAATAACGAGTAATAAAAAGCTTTTTGTTTGTTTTCCCATGCATTCTCGTGACATTGTCATGGGAAACACGTGTAGTCATGAATGTTGCATTTTCAGGAGAAATGAAATAGGAACGCCTCGCAATTGTTGTCAGCCAAATAAAAGCACCAAATCTTATGAAACACGCAGGTAATGTAAGTATACTGATATGATACCAACAGAAGCTTCAGGCCAGCTGAGATGAACGTTTTTGCTGATGTAGTAACATGATGCACCGTAATGATGCCAACCATCGGGACAATCGGCTTGTACGTCGACGTCTGTAAAATAAAAACACACAAGGTCACAACAAAGGTCGTTCTCTCTTATGAGGGGTTGATACCAGGATGCTCATTTAGAAATTGCCGCTTTTCTTTTGTAATTTTTATCCACTTCCAGTTTTTTTCCTCTTCTTTTTCCCAGATCCCACTTTTTTTCACCCCTTATATCCCACATCCCAAAAGCGTGTCAACCCCCTTTTTTTATTATATAATGTCCGTTTATTTAACCTGAGTCTTTATATTTGTTTGTTCTCCCGTCTTTACTTTGTATCTGCAACTTCTCTCTAACCAGTAAACTGATTTCAATGAAATTATCAAAGAATCTGTCGTATCTAAATGATCTTGTGCAACCCATATTTTATTTTATTCATATACGATATTTATTAGCACAAATTTGTTGAATCGAAAAACTGTTTTCAAATTGGTTTCACAAAGTAAACCGTGAACTTTGCAATGAAATATTCAATTTGAGGAGCGATGATTTTCACAGTTAGTCCAGTTATAGTTTTTATGTTGTTGTGGGTCATACTAAGTACGTTATGTCCGATAACATTTTAAAGAAAGGATTAGTATATGTGTTTGATTGAAGAAATATTTCGAAAGTTCAACTGGTACTTGAAAAAAAAAAAACGAAAGCACGGAGTGTTTGTTCCGTAACATATCTATATGCATGCCTCTTGATGTGCTTTGGTAATTTCCTTGGTTGGGTTGCTGTCTCATTGTGATATAATCCATATCTCTTTTTATTTATTTGTTCCGCGATCTGTAACAACATTACTAATAGGCAGATAGCATGAGACTCTTCATTGGTATGATCCTAGTCTCCACTTTATAAATCTAGTCCAGTAAAACGAATACTGCGTTTAATGTGAAACATATTTCAAGACATAACTGAATTACTGTACTTTATGATAGCCCTTAAAATAAGCAAAATGAAACAAGATAAATTAATTAAAGTAAAGTGACATTGTAATATTCAATGGAAGTATTTGAAAAACGGTTACATGTTTTCCAAAATACGAGTTCAATACTTACAAATAAACGATAAGAATAAAATTGCGTGCCTAAGTGCCACCATACTGTTGGAAGTGACTTCATGTCAATTCCAGGTACATTTGATAAAAGAGTTCAAACAGTACCATTCCTTTTGATTTCAAATTGAAAATTTTCTCGTTCACAAACCTCTATGTCATAAAAATATGTACTTTGTTTACGTAGCAATTAAATTATAATCTGAAATATTTTAGTGTATTTATATCTTATAGAAATCACTGAGTTGATTTGAACACGCGTGAGAGAAGTATTGGTTGTTTGATAAAATTGAGAATGGAAATGGGGAATATGTCAAAGAGACAACAACCAGACCAAAAGGAGACAACAGCCGAAGGCCACCAATGGGTCTTCAATGCAGCGAGAAAATCCCACACCGGAGGAGGTCCTCAGCCGGCCCCTAAATAAAATTGTGATGTTGGTTTAACGGCGCTTTATTACACTTGAGCTATGTCGCGGCGACTAAGAGAACTACGAAGGGGGAAAAAGACATACATTTTGGATGATGTAAGTTATATAGAACTCTGTGGTTGAAACGAAGTATGTGTTTTTACTACGTATAATTAATCCTTTCCTAAAACAAAATATTTGTATCTACGCCGGTCACTTTTTTATGAAACAAAGTTGTTCTAATTCTTTCAATCTGTCTGTAAGCTAATAAAAAAAAACAAGAGTGCACACGCTGTAATGTCTCGCCTACTATACTGACCATTGATTTTATTTTGATAGTCCTAGATAAAAAAACGTTTTACTACAAGGTCAGATAAACCAAGCCGGAAATACATGTATACCTTTAATACAATCATTCCATACACCAAATATAAATGACCTATTGCTTATAGTATAAAAGAAACAGATAAAACCATAGAAATTATATATTGATCAATGAGCCATGACAATGAGGTCAAGGTCAGATGAACCCTGCTAGACAGACATGTACACCTTAAAATCATTCCATGCATCAAACATAGTTGACCTATTACTTATAGTATCTTAGAAACAAAGTTAACCAGGAAAACTGAACATTGACCAATGAACCATGAAAATGAGGTGGAGGTCAGATGATACCTACCAGACTGACATATACACTTTACAATCATTCCATACACCAAATATAGTTGACCTATTGCTTAAAGTTTAAGAAAAACAGACCAAAACACAAACACTTAACATAGAGCAATGAACCAAGAAAATGAGGTCAAGGTCAAATAAAACCTGCCGGACTGACATGTACATCGTAAAATACTTCCATACATCAAATATAGTTTGTTGACCTATTGCATACAGTATTAAAAAAACAGACCAAAACACAAAAACTTAACTTTTGCCACTGAACCATGAAAATGAGGTCAAGGTCAGATGACACCGGTCAGTTGGACATGTACACCTTATAATCATTACATACACCATTTATAGTAGACCTCTTGCTTATAGTATCTGAGATATGGACTTGACCACGAAAACTAAACCTTCACTGATCCATGAAATGAGGCCGAGGTCAAGTGAAAACTGTCTGACAGGCATAAGGACCTTGCAAGATACGCACATACCAAATATAGTTATCCTATTACTCATAATAAGAGAGAAATTAACATTACAAAAAATCTTAACTTTTTTTTCAAGTAGTCACTGAACCATGAAAATGAGGTCAAGGACAATGGACATATGACAAACGGAAAATTCATATCATAAAGCATCTATATACAAAGTATGTAGCATCCAGGTCTTCTACCTTAAATATAAGCTTTTAAGAAGTTAGTTAACGCCACCGACGCCGCCGGATCACTATCCCTGTGTCGAGCTTTCTGCGACAGTAGTCGCAGGCTCGACAAAAACCTTCATAAAAGATAGAATGAGGGATACTGATTTAAAGGGCAGAAGTGACCCTTTCGTCTTTTTGTCTGAAACTTCATAGATGCGAATTAAACGTCCAGACACCAAAACATTCATAGCAGTGTTAATTTGATGGAACCTTAAATACTTTGATAAGAATATGAACCCGCTTTTTACTTGACCGAAGGCCACCAATGGGTCTTCAACAAGTGAAGATCAATGTTTTACTAAAACATAGTACGCCTTTTATGACCACTCATTTGGTTTCATATAAAAACTATGTGATGTTTTGAAAATTGCATACATGTATAGGGCTAGTTACACAAGCACTTGGTAAAACTTTACAAAAATGTCATGTTAGGACCACAAGGCTTCGTCATAGGGTGTATACAGACATGGAAATAAACAATTCCCGTAGAACATTCATAACAGAACAAAACAAATCCCAGCCTTTTCAACGTAACAATAACTCAGATTGGGAAAGTTGGGGGAGTTTATTTCTCAATAGTACGCAAGAACTTTCGAATTACGATAACTTCTTTGACCCTATTATCTTATGTCTGTAAAAGCTGGTGTTTATCGAAGTCCACATCATTATTATGCCTGAGAAGTATATCATTTTCTTCTTTCTTTTATGTGGTGGTAAGTAAAAGTTCACTTTCTCTTTCAAGCATTTTATTATTTGAGTAAGAAAAGTCGATGGATGAAATGATTTTTTTTTGCGGGTCAGTGTAACTGTCTCGTTTACGTATATCCAACATCTGGTTTTATTCGTAATCCTAAAATTACAAATTGATGATTCCTATTGACGTTGCTTTATAATATATATATTTTTCATTCACCGGTGTCCAAAAAAGTATAACAAAAATACTGAACTCCAGGCAAATTCAAAAAGGGGAAGTCCATAAAAACTTACAAACGTTATCAACCAACGGAACAAGTGAAAAACAACTGCCATACTCCTGACAATCAAAATCTACAGTCCGATTGTTGATTTGTTGACCTCTTTCGATCGGTTTGAATACAAATAATGCAGTTAGGAAACGGTTTCCTTATGCAACATTTTTTTCAGTTGGGGTCCATCATGAAGACTCTTCATGTATAATATCGAGCCAAACTGCATTTCTAACGCACAGCCTCAAATCTCGAGTAAATCGAATTGCATTTACAACACACTAATTTCAACCTCGTGCTCATATGATTGTACAGTCCATATCGATCTCGCGTTTTTATTGTAAGCGCATGATCTAACTCCTCGATTGGTGCACCTCATATGAACAAGCGCAAAGACCTAAAATGCGAGCAAAGGAATAATCGTACGCGGAAATTGATATACGTCTTTTTTGGAATATCTTTTAAGTGTTTTTGAAATCTGCACATTTTTGTATTATTCGAAATTATCAGTTAATATGTGTTCTACAAGGAAACTACCAACTGAGAATTACGCTAAAGCCGGTGCTAGGGATCGTCTTAAATTTGCAGTTTTTTTTACTGCGTGTTGAAGGCCTGACTGTGACTTTGAGATGAAGAACAGCAATAAAAGCGCTTTGTTTTTCGTGTGTTTTTAATGTGCATGTACTGATTTTGTGTCATGGATGGATACCCCATATCCTTTGTTTTTCTATTATTTTGTAGTCTTCAAATGGACCTTATTAACTATACTAGTATCTATTTATTCAGGACAAGCTCTTGTATTGACGCAGGATTGTCAAAAAAATTGGATACTTCATGGCAACTCTTGCTATCTCCTGAGCCTACAGAAATCTGAATGGCATTTTGCAGTGGTATGTTTAACTAATGTTGATCTTCACTGGTATCTATATAAAAATAAGGAGATGTGGTATGATTGCCAATGTGACAACTATCCACCAAAGTTCAAATAAAGTGGATGTAAGCAATTACAGGCAACCGTATGGTAACCAAATTACGGTCATCAATCTGTCGGTAATCAAAGTTGAATATATATATATTTATCCCTATTTTACGAAATTTTCCTTTGATCTTACTGACTGACAATTTCCTTTTCTCAGCACAGTAGAGTGATATGAAAAATTATCGGAAGTAACTAAGGGCGCACGTGCCGTTGTCAATGAAAGTAACAACGTCGTCAAAGGTAAAATAGCGATAAACAGATTATCATTGGTCATCTCAACTCGATTGCTTTTCTCACGTTCGCCGTACCGGTTCAAGCGAGAAAATCAATATCGTTGAGATGACCAACGATAATCCATAAATATATATATATATTTTTTTAATTTGACAGCATGACAGTTGCCTTTTAACGCTTTTTGGTAGTCTCACCTAATATGTATAAAATATTTGTATTTTGCGGTATGGCTGTCTGTTTGACGAACAGTGGCCAATTAAATATATTTTAAAGGCGAGTTATTGGTTTTACGTGCTTCTATACTAAATCATAAATATTTTTTTTTCACATTGTAGTTCACAAAGTAATTGCTTTTCTTTTTTATTAATAAACACGCTAGAGTTCAACATGCCAATGTCGTATGTAACAAATGTGCCATCGCTCGTTTTATATACCACGCGGGAAAATATATATATATATTTCTTGTAAATTTTCAGAACGTTTGTAGAATATATGGTGGAACATTAGCAGTGGTCAATTCGGCGGAGGAGAACAAATTCCTAAATCAAACTATTTTACAAAAAACAGGAGGATCAACCAACGGTAATTTTTTTTATATAGTTTTACGGATAAGAATTGTTAAATAAGAAATAGCACAAGACTTAAACATCTAGACGTCAACGTTCAGCCTTTAACAAAATACAAAGTGTCTTTACAATATCTCAGAATCGTTCCGTCTTTAATAGACCTTTTTCATATTACCGACTTTTGACTCCGAAGTTTATATTTTTTCGACAGGTTACCTACTCTGTGGTATGACATCCTGGTACTCGGTCAAGCAAGAGCAGCGTAAAAAAGTAAAATCAAGCTTTTAATCGATACAATTTATGGGGAAAATTAACTGCATTATATTTTCTTAACACGATAAAATCATCAGAAAACAGAAAACCTTCCCCTCAAATTGCACGGATTATGTGTTTGATTTTTCTTCTTTTGGTTGCTCTTACTTGACCGAGTACCAGGATGTCTAACAGAAAAGGTAACCTGTCGAAAAATTATATAATCCGGAGTCAAAATTCGGTAATATGAAAATAGTTGTGACTTAATTCCGAGATTACTGTTATAGCTTAATTTATCAGATACTATCAAAGATCTACCATTAACATGACATTCCCGAAATATAAAAACCTCATCCGTAAGATATATAGTTATCCTGCATTCTAATGCAACTCGTTTAGAACCATAATTTTCATTGGACGTTGACAAATATTTTGAAGGGTTATACTCCTCGTTCTACCAGTCCGTAACTAAGGAAAGCCACCATTTTGAATTCCGATATTTTTTTGGCATGTAATTTCTCAAAAAATAAACAAAAAACGTCACATTTTGTGCCTCATTATATTCTTTTTGTCAATATTGAAACCATTCAGAAGCATACAATCGAAATGTATTAATATGACTAGTGTTTATGTTTGACATCGGGAGTATAGTTTACCTTTGAAGTCAAAGACGACTTGTACGACTTTGCCCCCAGCAGAGCTATAGAAAAACAGTACATTAACGGGTGTTACACGGACACTTTTTAGATGATACACGGACACTTTTTAGTTGTTACACGGACACTTTTTATGAATAGAATCATTCGTGCATGATCGGTGAGTTCATGGGCACTTTAAATTTCAATTAGATTTGAAATTTTTGTTTCACCGACATATTTCCTCTCTTTTTAATTAAAATATTTACGCTAGCATCAATAACTATATTTTTTTTCAAACAAATCCAGTAACTATTCATAAGGGATTGACCATTTAACTTCAAAAGGTGGGTTATGGTTTTTTCCTAAAAAAAACCATTTTTATCCCCAATTTTATGAGAAAAAATATATAATATATTATATAGTTGAAAAACTAAATAATGTTCTTACTCAGAAAAGAACACACACCCTTTTGAAGCTAAATGGTCGGTCCGTAAATGTTTTTTTTTCAATATATAGACATGAATAGTATTCTGGACAATGCTGGTACCAACGTTTATATTTCAATAAAAAAGACAGGAAATATATATAAAAAAAATCAAATCTAATCAAAAGATAAAATCCCTATCAACTCACCAATGTACGATTGATCCTATAAATAAAAAGTGTCCGTGTAATACATGTTCAAATAGGCAGCAAATCTTGAAGAAAATCATTCAACTTATGTCATCAATTTTGGACGGTAAGCTCTGATTGGATCATATAATGACACGTGTTTAATCCTGATCAACACTATCAGAGACATTTAAAAACCTATAAGCATGAACATTTTTTTTAATCCAAAATATATGCCTATATATATCTAATAACAAGACAAAATCCATTTTTTCATAACATTTCATTCACTAATGAGATAGGAAATTCATTCTTCTGATACACTTATATTTTTATTGAAATCATATATATTGAATTCACATATTTGGCGGCAAACGTACGATTTTTACGATTTTTTAAGGGGGAATTGGGGGCCTGGAATGGCACATCCTGCATTCTTTCAACAAAGAAAAGGATGAAGCCTGTTTATTTTAAATTTATTTTAACCCCCCCCCCCCCCCTTTTCCCCAAATAAAAATCAAATGGTAGCTTGCTTAACTCTGAAATCTTTTTTTATACATTACTTACTTGCGAAGTTGCATCTCAAAAAGTCTCAAATGTGTATAACATTTACCTTTAACTTGAAATGATTCTTTTTATAAAGTTATTAGATTCTTGAATTTTTTGAGAAAAAACTTACGGCTGAAGGGAAGTGAGAAAAAAAATTGAGTTTAAACTGTAACTTACATTAACTGGTATATGGCCATTTAAGTTTCTAATATCTTTAGTTTTGCTACCTCTTCTAAATGCAAAATGTACTCCTTCCTTCTTGAAACGTCGTACAAGTCAGATACAAAACAAAGGTAACTAAAAACAGGCCGGAAACAACCTGTCGTATAGTTTGTCTGCACTTGTAGTCAGGTCAAGGTCCTCGGCTATCGCCTCGGACCTTGACCTGACTACTCGTGCAGAAAAACTATCCGGCAACGGTTGTTACCGGCCTGTTTCTTTGTTACCTTTGTATTGTATCTAATACGTAACAGTTTCGCGTACTTTTTCATTTATGGCATTTCTAAGCCAAAATATTTACTAAAACGGAATTTATTTTAATATGTGGCTTTAGAATGGAAATAGCTTTATTGTATTTTAAGCTTGGACTTCGTAAAACTTGATTTTACTGTCGCAAATATCCGTTTACCTAGCTTAGCTACGCGTCGCTAAGTAAACTCAATTTGCGACAGTAAAATATACGTTTAACGAAGGCCAAGCTTAAAATACAATACAGTTATCTCCAAAATCTATCCATTTCTGCGTTGGATTTTTTGTTTAGAAATCTCTTTTTATTTGTATTGTCCTATGTAGAGTTCTGATAACTGCGATGTTTTCTTTTCGACAGAGAGCTACTGGTTAGACGGAACGGATTTTGAGACCGAGGGAACATGGAAATGGTCATCAACAAAGCAGGAAATGGCTTATAAGAATTTTTACCCCGGACAACCAGATGATCAAAGTGGTAACGAGGACTGTTTAGCTATAAGTACTGCTCACAAAGGACAATGGGCTGATATGCATTGTTATGAGAAATTGTTTTCCATTTGCGAAAAGTAGGTTATCTGTCAAAAGTTCTTTTTCTCCTTTTTTAACGCATGCATGCAAATAATAATATCAATTATTTGGCAATTAGTGAAGAAAACATCGGGATTTTTTTTTTCGTTTCCTGTTTCATTTGTATTTTTGTATTTTTCGTGATGAAATTTAAAACCGTTTTAACTTTCAGTGTATTTTCCTATTCTCTCGAAAAATATACAAAATGAAAAAAAAATGTCCATAATGGTCGTTATTTGATTATCATGATAATACATTCATTTTAAGATTCGATGTTAAACTAGTATTTTGTTGTTTTATTTTTTCGTTTGCAGGGATTCAAGTGCTGGTGGAACCGTTGGGTAATTGATATATATCAACATCAGAAGCAGTGTTTGCATTTTCCAATCGTGTTTACATTTACCAAAGGCAATAATCAATTTTATTACTATTTTGTAGAAAAATAAAAATTTTAAAAACCATTTTTTTTTTTCTTTTTCTAACCATAAGGAAACAGTCGATCAATCAATCTAAACAAAAACAAAACATTTTACCAAGGAATTAAATAGGTCTCTAAGGATTTATTTATAAAAAACATACAGATCAATCAATTGTGAAAATGTTTTTTACACAAATAGTTCAATTATCACTACAAACCAGTAAAAGTCTGAAATGGCCTATATCTGTACTCGACTGTACTGATTTTTACTCGACCAGTCTGAATTGGTCTGAATTTTACTCGACATTACTCGACCCCAGTCTTAACCATACTCGACTGTACTGATTTGTACTTGACCCTTATCTTTGCCATAGAAAATAGTCTGAACTATTACTCGACCAGTCTGAAACAGTCTTAACCCATTCTCGACCTGTACTCGACCTATTTTTTTCAGTCTAAACCATACTCCACCAAAGGTCTGAACAATACTCGACCAGTCTGAACCATACTTGACCAAATAACCTCTACTTTTTCTAAATTTTAACTGTTAAAATAAATTTCTTTTTAACTGACATGACAACAGCCACAATAAAATAAAGATATATTATGAAAACAGATTTTTACATTCTTACATGATTCTCAGATTTATTGAATAGAGATATAGTTAAATCAAAAAGATTTTCTTTCACCTAAAAACCACACCTATACTGAGGGTAATTAAACCTTATTTAGGTGCATCTTGTTTGGCATGTGGTTTTTTTTAAATTAATTTTCCTAAATTCCTAAATAAAAACTACATAGGTTTCATTGTTACATACAAAAAATGTACAATAGTTATATAATTATCTTTTTAATGAGGTAACAACAGCCAACAAAATCACTGAAATTGTTTAACCTTATTTTAGAAATATATCTATTATTATAATTTGGGATATATTATATACAATTTATATCAAAAAGGGATAAAAATTAAAGAAATTAATAAAATTGTTCTTCTGGTTAGTGGTGAAGTATAAAGTAATACCTCCTGCTTGGGACAAACTCATGAAAAAGATCACACCTGGTCAGAGAGTATTAAATTCTAAATAACATACATTCAAAATTGCAACATCCTGTGAAACTTAAATCGCAAGGCCTTTTGAATTCATTAGATAAGTAATACACGAGTATAGGGCTTTCTTTTTACCTGTAAAACACACATGTACTGAGGTAATTAAACCTTATTAAAGTGCTTCGTGTATGCCATGTCTTTAATTTTGACAAAAATTATTTAAATTTAATTGAAAATTTTTTTTACTGTAACTTTGGAACACATTTCCTTTTTGAAAAGTTTATCACAGGATTACTATGGAAGTTCTATTATCATGATTATATTAAATTCTTGGTTTTACAAAACAAAGGTGTCATTTTTTAAATTTATTAAGTTGCTTTATATGCTATATATTTTATATATATTTTAATAAAAAAAATGTTCACTGCATTATTAACTAAACTCAACTGACACCATAAATATATACGAGGCTTAAGTTAATGGGGAAAATTGTCCAGTAACCATAAAATATATCTGAAACATTCAAAAAACTTTGGATAACATTGAAAATATTAGTCACAATTCAGTTTTGAGATTATTTGATCAGCTTGTTTTATTTTTATTTTAAAGGTGATATATATATGTATATATATAAGTGTTGATGCATATGGTGATGAAGTTATATTATGTTTATTGTGAAAGTTTGGTTTCAATGCTATATTGAATACATTTTTAATTTCGAATTGTTGTTCAAATTTCTAGCCAGGGGAAATAGCTGTTGTTAAAAACAGTTCCTAAATTGATGAAATACAATAGATAGATACAAAAAATAGGTCTAGGTTGGTTAAGACTTGGTCGAGTATGGTTCTGACCAAGTCGAGTATGGTTCAGACTAGGTCGAGCATGGTTCAGACGCGTATAAAATGATTAAGTAAGGGTCGAGTACAAGTTCAGACTGTTAGGTATGGTTCAGACTACAGTCGAGTATTATCAAGTAAATTTCAGACCAATTCAGACTGGTCGAGTAAAAAATTTGTAGTGTATGTACCAACAATTGTCAGCCGTAAATCAAAGCAATTGGGTGGTTCCAGATGAGCCAAGTGTTTAAACTCAGCAGATTGTCGATCCAATCGTGACCGATATGGGAAAAGGAAGATAGTTTTGAGAGACATACTCAAATCTTAAAAAACTATTTTATCCTTATTCTAAATAAGAGTGCACACGCTGAAATGTCTCACCTGCTTTACTGATCATTGATTTTATGTTGATAGTCCTAATCATAAAATTTTACTACAAGTATCACATAAACTTAACATGATCCAAGAAAATAAAGGTCAAGGTCAGAAAAAAACCAAGCCAGAAATACATGTACAACTTACAATCATTCCATACACCGAATATAGTTAACGTATTGCTTATAGTATACAAGAAACAGATCAAACCCTGAAAACTTTATATTGACCAATGAACCATGAAAAACCCTGCCAGACAGACATGTACACCTTAAAATCATTCCATGCATCAAATATAGTTGACCTATTGCTTATAGTATCTAAGAAACAAAGTTAACCAGGAAAACTGAACATTGACCAGTGAACCATGAAAATGAGGTGGAGAACAGATGATACCTGCCAGACAGACATATTCACCTTGAAATCATTACATACACCAAATGTAGTTGACCTATTGCTTAAAGTTGAAGAAAAACAGACCAAAACACAAAAACTTAACATTGAGCAATGAACTATGAAAATGAGGTCGAGGTCAAATAAAACCTGCCAGACTGACATGCACATCGTAAAAACACCAAATATAGTTGACCTATTGCATACAGTATTAGAAAAACAGACCAAAACACAAAAACTTAACTTTTACCACTGAACCATAAAAATGCGGTCAAGGTCAGATGACATCTGCCAGTTAGACATGTACACCTTACAATCTTTACATACACCAAATAGAGTAGACCTATTGCTTATGGTATCTGAGGTATGGACTTGACCACGAAAACTTAACATTGTTCACTGATCCATGAAATAAGGTCGAGGTCAAGTGAAAACTGTCTGACTGGCATGATGACCTTGCAAGGTACTCACATACCAAATACACTTATTCTTTTACTCATAGTAAGAGAGAAATTAACATTACAAAAAATCTTAACTTTTTTCAAGTAATCACTGAACCATGAAAATGAGGTCAAGGACAATGGACATACGACAGACGGATATTTCATAACATGAAGCATCCATGCATTCTACCTTCTGAAATATTAAGCTTTTAAGTAGTTAGTTAACGTTGAATCACTATCCCTATATATATAGCTAGTCTCTTTCTGCGACTTTTGTCGCAGGCTCTACAAAAAATGCGTTTTTTTTTAAAGTTTTAATGCAAGTATGGACACAACATTCAAGCTTGATACAGATATGAATTTGGATTGTGATTAAATATTTGACACAGCACATAGGTTTCTGACAAAGAATGAATGTGGTCTAAGAACTTAAAAATTTGAAATTAGACATTTACCTATTATGGTCCTATTTCCAAAATCTAAATTTAAGGTTAAATTCAGCATATCAAAGAACCAAAAGAATTCATTTGTTGATGAAATCAAACAAAAAGTTCAATTTAAAACCCTTTGGACTTCAACGTGGACCAATTTGAAAACGAGACCCACAATCCAAAATCTAAATACACGGTTAGATTCTGCATATTAAAGACCCAATATATTCTATTTTTGTTGAAATCAAACAAAGTTTGATTTAAGACCAACTTGAAAACTGGGTCCAAAATAAAAAAAAATAAATACTTGTTTAGATTCAGCATATCAAATAACCCCATGAATTCAATTTCTGTTAAAATCAAACTAAGTTAAATTTCGGACCCTTTGGACCTTTATGTGGACCAATTCAAAAACCGGGTCCAATTCAATAAACTATTGACACATAGATATGTCTGGCCTGTCAGCATAAAATTCAGAAAAAGACAATCTGCTGGACAGCAATATGGTGGACCATTATCTAGTAGGCAGGGCCTGAAAATAATCGTCATACTGATACAGCTTTATACAAAATAGCATTGATCTATCACAAGTTGATCCTATCAGACTAACTTAAGCAGAAAACCTAACATTGAAAATTGATAATTAATTCAAACTCACTGGACCATGTCCTAAGGGGCAGGGCCTTAAAATAGTCGTCAAACTGGTATGTACAGATAGTAATGCGACTTCGTATAAAATATCATTGATCTATCACATGTAGTTCTTATCAAACTGACGTAAGCAGAATACTTAACATTGAAAATTGCTAATTAATTCAAAGTCACTCGACCATGTCCTAAGGGGCAGGGCATCAGAATAGTCGTCAAACTGATATGTACAGATAGTAATGCGACTACGTATAAAATATCATTGATCTATCACAAGTAGATCATATCAAACTAACTTAAGCAGAAAACTTAACATTGAAAATTGCTTATTAATTCAGAGTCAATGGACCATGACTTAGGGGCAGGGCCTCAAAATAGTCGTCAAACTGATATGTACCGATAGTAATGCAACTTTATACTAAATATCAATGATCCATCACCAGTAGTTCCTATCAAACTAACTTAAGCAGAAAACTTTACAATAGTTGACGCCGTCGCCGTCGCCGGAAATGCAATCCCTATGTCTCGCTTTGTGCGACTTTCGTCGCAGGCAAGACAAAAATCTAAAAAATACACGGTTAGATTCAGCATATTAAAGAATCCCAAGTATTCAATTTTTTGTTGAAATCAAACAAAGTTTAATATTGGACCCTTTGGACCTTGATGTTGACCCATTTGAAAACGGGACAAAAATTTAAAATTCTAAATACACGGTTGGATTCGCTTATCAAAGAACCCCAATAATTCAATTTTTGATGAAATTAAACAAAGTTTAATTTTTGATTCTTTGGACCTCAATGTGGACCAATTTAA